CATCATCAACCCGCCGGAGAAGGATCCGAATTTGAGCACGACTGTAGCTGACCATGGTCAGGGAGGTCTCGAGGCAAAAACCCGATCAAATTCGACCACTCAATTGTCAATTGCTCTGACCAAGGATGAGGCACCCAAAGCTAGTTGTATTCTCATATTTCTGACATTTTATTTGGATTGTCAATCGTTGGACACTCTGAACAAAGTTCTGTTCTCGAAGATGGGCGGTAGAGCCAATCAAGGTTCAGGCCGTGGAAGCAAGGGTCGCTGGAACTCTAACAAGAAGAACTCCAAGACTGGTGAAAAGAAGCCCAGCAAGAAGGAGATGAAGTTCCAGACGCTCAAAGCTCAAAGCAAACATCCTGGATCTACGTTTGCGACCTTCGAAGAACTGAAAGACGACTGTTGCCGAAGACTGGCAAAGAAGAAGCTCGACAGTCCTGCTGACATCATTGGTAGTGTCAAGGACACGAAGTTGAAAGACTTCAGCGATAGCTCTAAAGCTCCACGAAAGTATTCAAACATCGTTGGAGACGATGATCAGAAGAAACTTGAGAACGAACAATTTGCGGCCGAGTGGACAAGCAAAAACAAGGAGTGGAACTATGCAAAGAGAGACCATGAGTCTAACAATCTCAATCTCCATGCTACTATCATCGACATGTGTGCGGATGAAATGCTTGAGGAACTTCGACATGAAGCCGATTATCTCACTACTTTGTATGAGAACCCGATCGAGCTGTTGCATCGCATCAAGAAGTTCATGACTGTTAGTGATGCTGCGGACTACCCAATATTTGTGGTGATCAACGCAATTATGAAAGCGATCAACACACGTCAAGTCAAGAACGAGACTGTTGCTGAATACAAGAGAAGAATCGAGGCCAACTTCAGTGCAATGTACGCACTTTCAGGTCATGATTTCCTCAACAAATTCACCAAGACTAAAGACGAATACATCTGTAGAGCAACTGATCCCGAGAAGAAATCTTATCTTGATGCCACATCAGAGCGATTGATGGCGAGTACGATGTTGTTGAACTCGTACAAGCCTACTCATCAATCCTTGACTGAAGGATTCTTGAAGACCTACTCTTTGAAGCACCTTCCAGAGAGTCAAAGGAATCAATTCCCTACCACTATGGAAACTTGTGGTATCGTCCTTGAGAGAAACGAAGCCATCGTGCTAGAAGCTGCCAAACGTAAGCCAACACCTAACAAGGGCGGCGATACAAAAGGCAAGAACAGAGATAAAGGGAAGCCCAACGAAGAAGCACCCACTGGTGTAGCCTTTGCCCAGCATGGAGGCAAAGGAGGAGGAACATCTGGTGTCACATGCTTTTGCTGTGGCAAGAAGGGACACACTTGTGATATGTCTTCAAACAGAAAAGCAGTGTCGTCTTCGTGGGCGTGTGTTGATCCCAATGACGTCACCATAGACAAAACTTTGCAACGAGTGGAGAGACGATGACTCAATGTGCGCTCACAGAACATGCTCAAAATAGAGGCAAGGTTGACATTGAAGGGTTGTCCCATTGGGGCTTCATCGGCATCCTCCTCCTCTAGAATTGACTCATCATCAAGAGTATGTTCTTCCATTCTCATATTTGACATTGCACACACAGTCATTGTGGGATCATCTTCAATATCTGAGATCAAAACCTTGGAACGGTTCCAAGCATCGGCTACTTTGCCATCATAATTGACAAGATGATCTTCAGTCTGCGCATAGGAAGATTTGTGCGGATCAACTTCCTCTGGTGTCATCATGTAGACGTGATCAGGATCAGCATTGTTAAGCTGTTCAACAGTAGGTTTTCTTGTGACAAAATATGAGAAGGTACCATGCAGCTTCATTGGGATGTGTAGATGCTTGTCAAACTTGATTGCATGATCATCAGAAGAGGGATCGGCAAAATGGATCTTTGGCGTATCATTCACTTGGATTCCTTTTTCTCGCAGAATAAATGGGGGAATCAGGTTGTGGGTCATAGAAAGGACATTTAGAGCATTTTCGACCACAAGTATATACTCCTGCCCAGTGACTTGATCCTCATACAGTAGGGCAGCATCAACAATTGGGATACTCTTTGCAGCATATTCAGGATTGTAGGGGTTGACAAAAGCAGTCCGTCCAGTATCACTCAGAACAAAACAATTGGATCCAACAACAATCATATTGGCGTGGAAGTCAAGTTCCGACCTAGAATCCATCAGATGCTCGACACTGGTAGCATCAATTCATAGTGCAGCCGCGATTGTGGCAAAGAATGACGGGGACACGTGAATGGTAGTGTCGTCCATTGTCTTCCAGGGTGGGTCCGGCCCCAGGGTCCAATGCATTGCAGAAATAACTTTGGGCTTCAGCGGGACCAGTCAATCACCTTTCTTCCCAAGAAGTTTGGCAAGAACAATAGCATCAACATCAGCAGATGCAGCAGGAACAGGCGCCTTTCCAGAGGCATTGACCGTTTTGAGTGCACTGATGAGAGTATCATGTAGACCTTTCTTCTTGTCTTCCTCATCAGTGTACTGCTTGACATGTTGCTTCAGCTCCCTTTCAAAAGCAGCAGCCGATATTTTCCCGTCTTTCTTTGGAGATGAGTTTCCACCATGAGCTTTAGCCTTTGCAGCTCTATCTCTTGCTGTTGCGGCCTTTGCTTCAGGTGTCAGACGCTAAGCTTTCAGCTCAGCTCTTTGCTCTGGGTCGCATGCTGGCACGGCTGGTTGGCAATTAAGGCTTGATAGGTCACAATGTTGTCAATCGGTTGGACGAGGACAAGCCAGCTTAATGGGCCGCTTGTCTGATGTCCGCCAGAACCAATTTCCAACACAATCCTTTGCCACTGGCCAAGCTGATAGGTAGAAAGGGACACAGCACAGAGGACCAGCCAGCGGCTTGACTTGCCCGGAGTAGCAAGATAGAACCCCTGGGAATGCAAGCAAAGCAAGCAAAGCAAGCAAACAAGTCTACCACACGTAGGATGACCCTGCAAACTCAAATTTGTGTACGCCCTGAGTCTGAGGACGGTCCGAACGTTGGACTGGAACTGATGCAATCCCAAAGTAGAAAAAGGAAAAAGCAGACACGCCTGAAACTATTGCTTGCACAACAAAAGGCTTGTTTCCTGGGGCATCTGGTGTAGGTCCGGCCTTTTACTTTGCGAGGGAAGGTGAACCTTTCAAGCGGGACTTCCACCACAGAAGCTATTCAACCAGTTGAAAGATTCGGATCCCTTGATTCCAAAGAAAACCCCTTGACAACAAAAGGAGGTGAACCCGGGGCAGCACCAGTTGGCGACACTCAACGCTGATTTGATAGCGGTCGATAAAATAAATAAAACTCCAATACCTTACGACTATAGCAACAGGGCCGCTACTAGTCAAGCACTCCAATTTTTGTTGTCTCGAACACTGAAAAATAACTTGGGCGCCTGTAGAAACCGAGTTCTTTGTTTGAATTAAATTGTATGAGTACTGCGCCTCAAAAATTAATTCAAATCAAACGGTGGTAAAGAATGGGCTTGATGGGAGCCCAAAGAACTTGCAAAACGCTGAAAATCGATCTGTGAGTTGTTGTGTTGTTCCTCTTTGATGGGAAGACGAATTCAAAAAAATGTTGATTGTCCTTGTCCTTGATGGAAGGCGAGATCAGCAAAGTTCTGAAGGAAAATTGCTGCAGTTGGCTGTGTGTGTAGCTGCGAGAATATGAGCTTGATGGAAGCTCAATAACTTGCGAAAGCACTGTGGAAATCCAATCCGCAAGTTGTTGTGTTTTCATCTTCTGATGGGAGACAAATTGGGCAATCTCTGATGGGGAAATCGCGGCAGCAGTTAGCTGTAGGCGTAACTGCGACTGTTAATCTGACAGAAATAAACGAAGAATAGACAAATAGACTTAAAGCCTATAGTGCGACTGCTATTTCACAAGAAGATAAAGATCAATTCATGTAAAACAAGGTGCAGTGAGAAAGGCGATGATCCATCACTTTTCCACATGAATCCTATGATTCATTAGAGAACTGCTGACTCAGTTCTTTTCTACGCTAAATTAATGGCGTGTAGTGGTTTGCGCACGTGCAACACACAGGCTAAACTTCAACCTGGGAATCCTATAGGCCGAGTCCCAAGTCCCGTTCCTATTAGAATTCTGTCACTGGTAGTCGCTTGTCCTTTTTGTAACTTAGATACAGGTAGCTTTGCGCGTGCCCGATTATGCCCAAAAATGCTGAATTACTAGATCGATGCTCAAGCGGCAGACAGGACACTGTTCAAGCAACACGTGTTAGATCATGATGGCTCCAGTTCAGTACAATTGCATCACAAATCGTACCTTATCTCCACGAGCCTTTAAAATCCTAGCACAAACCAAACAGCAAGCTACATGTCCTGTTTCGCCATGCACAATTGTAGCATTTCTGTGTTCAGTCAAACAAATCAAGCATTTTCTTGAGGTTCCCCTGTTAGGACTATCCTTTGACGTATCAAGCTTGTTCTTGCGACTATTGTCCGATTCTGCCGATTCAATTGAAGACAAATCCTCAAAATCCCTGGTTCCAGCTCCATCTTTCTCGTGTTGTTGACATTCACGGAGCACTCTCTGGGCATCCAGGTGGTAGAGTCCGGGGTTATCAGGATCATAGTTTCCGTCGACACGGATCAGTTCGACAACCAAATCATCATTTGGTGGCGGTCTGTTTAATCTAACGCTAATCCAACCACCATTACCTGCAAGTTGCAAGCGCTCTATACAGCGGTCGACTGGATGCTCGGAGAAAGCCCGTCCGCAAATCGACAAAACTGCATTGATAGGCGCAACTCCAATTTGTGGACTGGATAATTCTATGGAAGTGCGTATGACAGCCCCGATTTGCAGTTTGACTCGGTAGAGAGCAGGGACAGGAAAAGGGACCGGAGCAAGTACGACGCCCCTTTGGCCCGACTGAGGATTTAAGTACTCAGAGCACCATCCGTCTATCGAAATCTGTTTAGTTTTCTTTCGGTCTTCAATCTTGGCATTAATCCGAAGCCGCATCAGGCCTTGGCTGTTGACAGTTCTGCGAGAAACTCGAACTAATGATCCATAAGGAATAGTTTCGATGTGGCGTGTGTTGAGTTCCAAGCCCTCGCGAAGAAATGCTCCTGCAGGACATAGAACTCGCCAATACCAAGTATGAGGATCAACATAAACGCCCGGTAAACCAGGTGCAAGCACCCAGTACCCATCCAAGCTGAGAGTTGTAAAGCAGCTTCGCCCTCCATGCTCAATTTCAACAATCTGAATATAGCCTCTCTTCGGCTTTGGATAAACATTGTTGTCGCCATTGAGTGCAGTTGGAGGAACCACTAGAGGCCTGAACGAAATTGAATCAAGAAAGATGATGTCTGTTGCCACAACGGTTGCTCCAGGGCTGAGAGTTCCGACAGCATCCAGACTCAATTCACCGTTATCAGCCATTTTAGGCACATCACGGAAGATCGACAATCGCCCATCATTTTGCCACCACATTTCATCTTCTTCGAAACGATCCATCATACAATGATTTACTCCATGCCTTCCTTCGATTTGCAGCACAGAATCCCTCCATTCTCTTCTTTGCTCCTTTTCTTTTTCTCTACATTTACGCACCCAATCCTTAATTGATCTCTTGTGATTCCTAGTGTACACCGCTGGTATGAAGGATTCCTGTCGATCATCTGTCACGATGCTTGAAGACTCATTTGCTGAAATTGCATTTGTGGATGATGTATGGGCATTCCAGTTCGGAATAAGACATGTCGGAGTCAAGCTGCCATTCATATCTGATGGTCGTGTGAGCTTTCCCAGGATAGGATGAATCGCAGCTTCTAACTGCACTACTTGATTTCCACAGTCGCTTTCGCCCTCCATTGGTTGAGCATCTGTCATTGATGAAGAATCATCCCTCGGAAGTTTCGGTAGCCTTCCAGAGATGGAGTTTGACAATCCATCGCCCGGGCAGCCCTGGAGGCAAATAAATGGCCCTGGAACAATGATCTCGGTTTCGTGTGCCATGTCCGCTCCACTCCTCCTTTTCTTTGAAGTTTGCGTTTGATTTGATTGTTTAATTCTTCCTTTGGTTTCATCAACAACACCTCTCATCGAAAGGCGAGACAGTCGCAGTAGTCGACCGTGAAAGTCTTGCCTTCAGTACATCATTCACTCGCTCACAAAAAAAACTGTACTGTTATCCTTGGGTACTGCTTAGTTGTCCACCTCCAGTAGATCTTTTAGTTAGGAAGCACCTCAACCAAAAGTGGTACCTGCAAAGTACAACTCGCAGCACTTCCGCTATCTCAAAAATTGGGGTCAATGAGCAATCAGTTCTTCCAACGTGTCGCAAACTACGTTGCGAATGAGATAGTCGTCAAAGGGTTGGCCAACTCAAAGTCTTTCCAGAGGTTTGCTGTCCGGACGAACAAGCAGTATGAAGATGTCGCCAAACATGGAGTGGATTCGTTAAACAAAACGCTTGAGACGATGGCAAAGAATGAACCTGGCAGCAAGACAGTAGCCAGTCGTGCTGACAGGCCACCAAGTCCACCCCTTAGAGGTTTTCCAGGTTTTTTTCTGGCTTTTTTCAAAGAGGCGAGAAAAGACATCACAGGGATCTAAAGGGGGTGGGTGTGTTAGTACAATCAGATAATCTGTTCTGGAGAATCGGTCGATAATTTGACAATTTGATTGCTCTGAACGATAGAAGCTTCCCTGGTTGATACATTTAGGCTGGACCAATTACAAACTGAACAATTTGCATGCCTTCCATCATCCTAGCTCGTGGCAGGTGGGCGTTACCTTCGGCCACTGGACTGGTTGTGAAAATCAGCGCAATTGTAAACGTTTTCACTCTATGTAGCATATGAGTTCAATTACTGCACCTTCGTATTTTTCTCTTCTAAGTCATCGATAGCTCCAGAGCATGCAATGTCTTGTGGTACGATATAGAACACTCGATACCATCCAGTTCTCGAGTATGTGCACTCCGTTTCTGTGTGCTGTCTGCGTTCACAGCTTGCGAACTGCCATGATATGTTTCTTCCAATTCATCATTGCGTTTCATCTCCCTCCAGCAAGCCCAGCAGCTCTTTTTCACTCATTGCTACATCCAAATTGTTTTCACTAGAAACGTCAATCCACCACTCAATAATATCAATGGAATCATTAATTCCACCAGCCTCTTCCGTATTGTACCTGATTGGATCAGTGCCAAAACTAAATAGGTACACCTCTGGCACTGACAACACAGTTACACCTTGCAGGTATAGTTCATTTTTTGATACATCGTACATCCCAAGTTTCAACCTGTTGTCCAGACCAGTATAACTGAGAAGTTCTCCAAGTGCATTCCAAACAACCTTGAGCCTCTTGCAGTGTCCACAGCTGGGAGAATAGAAAATTATCATAGAATGACAATCTTTACTGTCGATGAATGATTGCAAGCTCGAAGCCGCAAGGAGATGAATTCCAAAACTATTCTTTCTTGTTTCAACGTAGTGCTGTGCATCCTGTGCTTCCAAGTCTCCATCATGCTTTATGATAGAATCTAGAAAATTCCCTAGTGAATTGCTAGCAAAGGGATGTTCTAGGATACGGTAATCAATTCCCATGTCTTGTCGTTTGTCAGTAACTAGCAGGCACGGAAATACACCAATGGAGGGAAACGAATCTTGGGAATGCAGCTTCTTATCAATGGGCGACCACATATCAATTCCAAACTGAAGAAGGAAACGCACGTCTGTACTCGGCACAACATAGCAGACCACATTGTGTTCACGTCGTGACTTGCACTCGCGACGGAATTCGACAACCGTCTGTCGCATTTTCTCTTTGACCCATGGGTTGTGGAAATCAATGAATAGAGCTGCATGTAACCTATTGTTCGGCGAAAAAATAATTGGCGCCGATGCCTGTCTGTCCAGCCAGAGAAGAGAAGGGCGCAAAATCATTTGGCAGAAGAACGATGTTTTGGTTCTCCAGTCCGTTGTTTCCACTGACTTTAGATCAAGTGACGATTCAGTTGTCAGCGTCCAGTTGTTTTCTACCACTTGATAGCTCGTAATTACTCCTTCATTCAAACATTTCCGTTGAACGCAGAAGACAACATCTCTGCGAACTGATAAGACCCCGGCGACCTCATCAAAGGCCGAATAGGCTTCATTCAAAGCTTCATCGTCGCCTGTAGGATCTCTACTATCCTGACACTGACAAATTACGTGGTAAAAATCAGGATCGCTGCTCTCGTCAAGCATGTACCGTGCCCAGTCTCGCTCAGCCAGTGACATTATAGGATCCAAAGGCAAGTTATTTCGTTGAAATAGCCTGTCCTGAAATTTAGCAACAATGCGTCCCATTTCCTCAATCCTATCCACTTGCACGGCCAATGCATTCAAATTCAGATTGGTCGTCAGTGAGGCCTGATGATCAGCTTGGAATCCTGAATGCTGAAATCTCAGCAAGTAGTGTCGAAGACCATTCAGAATCTCCGATCCAGACGATCTTGATCCCTGGTATTCCAGAGTTTTAAAAGACGCAGCAGAATCCTTGTCATCTCCAGTTTTGCTAAAAAATACAATACTTGGGACATGGGTGACTGGAATTGCCTGCAAAAAATGTTTGTTTGATGGTGTGATCAAGAAAGAGGCAACTAGGGGAAGCCGAACGTCGGAAAAAGCAGATTGCCGACCTTGCCGTAATTGGTAAATCGCTTCCTTCCAAGTTGGAACTAAATGCATACTGGATTGGCAACCTTCCACGTAGAAAAGTGCCACGACGATGTCATCTGCTTTGGCAGGCGCCGTGAGAAAATTAATCAAATCACTTTCATCGAGTTCACAGTCCAACACCAGCTTCTTTGATTTTGAATCAGAGGTTTCGGGATAATCGTCTGATCCATTGGCACTTCTTATTCCGACAGTGATTGCCCAATATGTGAGGGAAAATGGAAACAGCCGGCATCGTCCAATTCTCATCGCATTGGTGGATCAAGTACTGGTACTGTAGTTGTTTTATGCCAACACGATACACTGCTTTGCTTCTGATGTGAGAAAACCGCTATGTTTGTACTTTTACACATGTTTCTGCTTCAACCATGACATCATATTTATCCGAAAAAACAAGGGAAAAAAGACCACGTTCGAACGACAGCTCCACGTCATCAGGTAGTCTTCTCGTAGAATCAACGCAGACATTATAACACCGAATGTCTTTTCAATCGGTGGAGGAGCACACGTTCGTTCGGTTGACATTGAACTACAACTTGAAATTCAAGTTGATAAACTGGACAGTGAGAAGCAAACCACAAACCATAAAAGGCCGATATCGCAGTTCAACAGATAGAGCCTAATGAGTGCTGGGGGTTTTGATTCCGAGTGAGTAATATCTTTGCACATCCTAAAAGTCTTCTGCATTTATGTTAGTCGTACATAGTCCGCACCGTACCATTTCGTTCCAGAAATCGACCTAAAAAATGAACTACATACTCACACATCTTTAGCATACCGTCTCTACTAGTGCAAGCTGCACACAGTGCGGCGCAAGCAGATGGGCTCAGCCCTGAAAAGGCTTACATGAATAGTGGAACAACGAGTACTATTCATAGCATTAGAAGCAATATGATGCAACAGCACGAAACTGATCTTCAGCAAATGCAAAGAAAGGCGCCCCCGCCTGCCTTGACCAGTGGCGGAGGGAAGAAGAAAGGTCCCCCACTTCGACGTGGGAAATGGACTCAAGAGGAAGAAGCTTATGCGAACCGATTAATTCAAGAGTTCAAGGCCGGACTACTACCCTTGACAGATGGTACGACTCTTCGAACATTTCTATCAAAACTCTTGAACTGCGATCCAATGCGAATATCGAAAAAGTTCGTCGGTGGCAACTGTATTGGAAAACAAGTTTTCCGTCGACGCACTGCTGATTTGAACCGACTGACTCCGGAACAGATTCAGAATAGTAGAGCTGAGCTTAGTGAGTTGGAGCGTCGGTTCTTGGATCGGGTGGCACAGACGAATCGCGTAAAGTCATCAGGAGTGGGTGGAAGTACTACAGCAACATCAAATCCGGTTGGGCAAGTTACACACGTCGCTGGACAAGTATCACTGAAAGGAGAAGACACAAACGCAGGAACACCATCCAGTCCTCCCTGGCTACAGACTCCACTCGGTTATAAGCAAGGAAGTGGGGCTGCCATGGCTGCTGCCAATCTAGCTGAAGGAGGTGGTAGCCGAGCAGCAGCTGCTGGACGGGCACTACTTCGTGGAATCGACCCTAGCAGTTTGAGCAAAGCTGCAGGTTCTGGTTTATCCTCCTCAGGGAGTGCTGGACTTCTTGCCATGGCAGAACTTCAGCGTAGAGCCAGTCAACAAAGTTTGCTTCAGAATATAAGAGGCCAATCCGCACAGAATCTATTGGCAGCTCTAACCTCAGCTGATGGTGGTGGGGGTGTATCGATGGTAAACCTCGCAAACAGTTCTTCTGGTAAGTCCGAGAAGAAGTTCATTTTGACAATTCATTCAATATCGTAATTAACACAGTTTCTTCACTAGCCTCCCGACTAGGGCTTAGCGGAAGCAACTCTATCGGAAATTTGATGCTGAAGAATAGCTTCTCCCGCGATAGATTGAACCAGCTGGCCAAAGATCGAGGGCTCTCGTCGACTTCTCTGTCTAATATGATTGACCGGAAGAATAGTTTTGATGCTCTGATGTCGCTTGATTTCCAAAGCCTGCAGTCAATAGATAACCTGGCAAACTTGATTCAGAGTGGCGCCTCTTCCACTCAAGCACCAGCAAGTGGAATGAAGAACTGGTCTGCAGACAATTCCAATTCGAGAAATAGTCTTGCTGGCCTCGCAGGTGGCACTGGGTCAACTGGAAGCCTATCCGAAGTTGCTAGGCGACTTGCCAGTTCTGGTCAGATGGAATCCCTTCTCCGATCCTTTTCGAGCAACAATGTGAAGCGTGGTGAACCGATTGACCACAACCAATCAAGTTCGTCGAATCTTCAGCAATTACTGCAGAACGCGCAATCGGAACAGGCTAGCAGTAGTATGAGCAGTCTTTTAGGGGGATCAAGAAACGGTTCCAGCGCGGCGTCTTTGGCAAATCTTCTCAGAGAGAACTCGTCAACAGGATTGACGGCTTTGCGAATGCAAGATGGTCTGAATAATCGGAATTCAAGTGTCGAAGATTTCTTGAGTTTAGTTGCAGCAGGTGACATTCCACACCAAGATCCTTCTCTCCTAAATGTACCATTGATGCACCATCAGCAAAACACCAACGGCGACAATATGTCGAGACCTGGTTCGGCTGCTGCTGTACTTGCGCAGCAACGGTTACTTGCTCAGGCGACGGGAAATCCAGCTCTTGCCAATGCGATTGCATCGCGGTCCTTTGGAAGTCTGCGTAATTTGTCTGGCGGGCTTTTGAAAAACAATTCAGCTGCAGCTCTTCTCGCAAGATCTGGTGGGGACAGTGCAGGGTCTTCAATGTCATTGAAGCGAAAACTCCTCGAATTGGATGCGAGCCGTGATAAAGGTTCGGCAAAGAAGAGGTGAGGAAATTACAGGACAAGCGCTAGCGATTAACGTAAAAAATTCACGGTGTACCACATAGAAGATTAGACATTCTTGATTCCTTACAGCATCGTCACAGCAGAGCAGCCTTGACCTCAAACCGAGAAAGACCGATAAGTCGTAACTTTGCCAACCAAGCATTCATCGCATGGCAAATCTATGCTCAGGTGCGACTTAAACGACTCACTTTCGCCTTAACTTTCAAACGTGATACTGGCAGCTACCTGCTTCTATTGCTTTTCACTCGCAATACTTTGGAACTTATGAAAGGAATACACCTGTCGTAAGAGCTTCGCAGATAGTTCTCTTTTTCCAATCAAGGCATGCCGGAAATGAGCTCCTCTCGGAGTATGTCTGAGGCATCAATGAAGCGGGAGATTGCGAACAGTCCCGGAACTAGCGAACTATTTAAACTGGTCAATCAAGGAGATCAGTGGCAGCACGGTCTCTTTCGTGATAAATCATTGAATGTGCAAGGTTCTCAAAAAAGGAAGGGAAAAAATCTAGGACTGTCGCAAGTGGATATGGCTTATCGCAAACTTGGACATCAGTTGAGCCTTCGCGCTCATGGCAGTTTCGTTGCCTCAAATCACCAAACAAGTTGCACAATTGGAAAAAGCGAAGGCTCAAGTTTTGCACCCTATTCTCGATTATCTAAGAGGACAAACCATATTGACGTGGGATCGGTAAGCGAGGATGTGTCAATTGGGGCAGCCCATGGCAAAAATAACTTACACGTATCTCTACCGCAGGGCCGTCTGACTCAAATGATAAAGGCGGAGAAAGCGAGACCCAGCAGCCATGAAAATTATTGGAAACCCTCATTCCGTAAGAGGAACATTCTGAGGCACCTCACTATGAATGCGTCCAAGATATTACGGATGCTCCAGGATGATATGATCGCAGGATCCCAAGCTGCGAGACCGACCGACTCTTCTCGACAACAGTTCCCGCATTTGCGTCCAGAGCAACAGAACGAGCGCACACCGTCAAATTGGTTGCAAGAAGACTCCAAGAAAGAGCAAACCACAAATGAATTCTCGAACAAAACAATAATATCTCTTCAAAAAGCAGACAGGGCGCCAACTGTTGCGTCCCATTCTATTGAAATGTCGTCTACTAGACCTCAGCATTTGAATTTTGAGCCTCCGATCGACAAAGCACGAGATCCTAGTGGGACAGCATCATTTCATCAACAGCAAACTGGGAAGTGCTTAACGGACCCTTTCTTGTCTACCTCCAACAATGGATTTGACGATGCAAATGGCGACTTGATTTTGTATGAAAATGATGTAATTAGAGTGCCTCGGAACAAAATTCACGTCTTGTCTAAAGAAAGGATGCGAAATGTGGCACATGTTGATTACCGAGTGCAGAAGAGGTTGGGACAGGGGACCTTTGCCCAAGTCTTCCAATGTCTACATTTACAGACGGGAAAATTGGTCGCATTGAAGATTGTGAAAAACAAGGCAGCATATGCACGGCAGGCATCAATAGAAATCGATGTCTTACGTGCTTTAAAAACAAAAATTGGAAGCGATGGTAACGAATTGACTGTCGACCAGACCACATTCAAGGGATCGTCTTCGGATGGTAACAGGGGTACAGGGTCTGAAGGAGACGAACACGACTATATGGTCGATCTTGTTTGTTATTTCTTGTACAAATCACATCTATGTTTGGTATTTGAACTGCTGGGACAAAATCTATATGATGTTTTGAAGCAAAGAAACTTCCGCGGACTTCGATTATCGGTTGTCAGATCAGTGATCAGACAGGCTGTTCATGGAATCGTAGAATTGGCAAAACATGATGTTATTCACTGTGACATCAAGCCAGAAAATATTCTTCTTGTTAACGAAGATGGCATCACACAAGTTGGAAATCGAGAATACAGTGATAACACTTTGCCGGCCTCGTCTGCATCAATCCCAACACAAACCGTGATGAGAACACAACCACAATACAAAATTGCAACGGTTCCTCCTCCAAATATGACGGCGAATCAGACAGCGAGACCACAGGCCTCGTTCACCAGTGCTTCATCGATATCAGAAAATGCCGCAACCAATACGCATTGCCATCGAATCAAGCTAATCGATTTCGGTTCGGCATGTTTCAAGGGACAAACAATGCAAACATATATACAATCGCGATTCTATAGGAGCCCCGAAGTGCTGATTGGCTTACCTTATGATTCTGCTATCGACATCTGGTCGCTGGGGTGCGTTACCGCTGAATTGTTTTTGGGACTGCCAATTTTGCCTGGTGTTCACGAGCATGACCAATTGGGTCGAATTTTGGAAATGATTTCCACTTTGCCAGAATGGATGCTCGAGCAAGGATCGAAGGCGCCAATTTTTTTCAATAAGGAAACATCCTTTGATGCTGACACTATCGACGAAGGGCACACTTCCACCACCTCGTCGTTGCAATACCGGTCATGGAGACTGAAAAGTCAATCGGAGTTTGTAGCGTCTCTATCGGAAGGTGAAATTCGGAGAAAGGGTGGACAATTGAGACTGGAAAAGCAGCACCATAATAGGTACTTCAAGAAAAAGAGACTTGCTGACATTGTGTTGCACAAGGGGCAGAGCGGAACAATGAAAGAAGACAAATATGATCTGGACTTGTTTGTCCATTTTTTGCATGGTACGTCACTTTGAAGTTTTGGAAATTGGGTTTCTCTCTCGAATCTAACAGTATGTGTTTGTTTCGTGAAGGTCTTCTCGATCCAGACCCCATAAAACGCTGGACAGCCCTACAAGCCTCGCAGCATCCTTTTCTAACTGGCTCAAGAATTCGAGAACATACTGAACATACCTATGTCGATAGCCGCAAGTATGGCAACCTCGCAAACTTGGTTGGCCACTTTTACTGGGAACCCCCATCGAATTTCAGAGGAACGGGTGGCAACTCCGGTCCTTTTTGTCATCATGTTTTTGAACAAAATGAAGATTCAAGATTTGGTCATTGGCAAAGGAGAAGCCAATTTTCAGGGGGACTTCAAAGTAACGGTCATGATGATACGGCATACCCGAGGTACGTATCTCTGCGATCGAATATTTGTTCTTCTTCACAACTCACCAAAGGACTCGGATTGTGAATGGTAGAGTCCCCATTCGCTCTGGTGGTCTAGCCGAATTGACTCAAAGTTTTGATCGACGTAAGCCATCAAATGTGAAAAATGACCATAGTTTTCAGTTTGTGCCTCCACCACCCTTGTCACACACTCCGAAAAATGGAGGCCAAACTCAAACTCTACGCAACGGTCAAATTCTTCCCTCAGTTGGATTGTCGCAGCAGACGCAAAATACTTGGAATGGACACCTGTTAAGTGGGAACGGTGGTGAAAGCTTTGCTGCTAATGATTCTCCTAGTCTTGTCAGTGTTCAAACCCATATGTTTCCTTCGCCGGTCAACTCGCAATGCAACTGGTATAACTCGTCATCTCAAGCTAACGATGAACACCGTCCTGCGTTCTCCGTGCCTAACCATGCCTTCCATGAACAGAAAAAGGATCACCGAGCACCAGTCGTTCATCATGGCGGAAAGTAGGTCGGTCGACTGAATGCTTGTTTCTTGGAACACAAGTCAATGAAAGCGTTCTAGCAGCATTTGCCATTTCCTTATTTCCAGTATTGATCGACGATTTGCTCATCGACCTGTGAACAGAAAACGTATTTATCCACAGAAATAGAAGTCGGTTCATTTCCTTGAGTCGTTATACGAAGGTCACAGCATAATTGTTGGCGATACATGGAGAGGTAGCAACTATTTACAAAATAAAATAGTGGACTGCGTGATTACAAAATGCGTTCGCTGGGAGAAGACAAAGGTTCTTCAAGTGTAGAGAACTAGATTGTAATTTCACTCACAGCTATCAAAATGGACAATTAAGATGGCATCAATTGCTGTCACCAGAGACAAAATTCTTTATTCCCTTACATTTATCAAGACACGATTGGTCAAGTTGATGGACCTGTTGACTTCGTGTAATCTTCAGCAAAGTTTTCGATGAGATTTTCACTCAAACTTTCCCAAGACATCAGATTCTCGAAACATAAAAACATCGTCGTCTCCAATAGTTACTTTTGTTCCGCCGTATTCTGGAAGTAAGACCTTATCGCCAGCTTTCAAACTTGTTTTGTGCAGATTTCCTGTGATATCTCGTTCTCCAGGACCGACTGCAACAACTTCACCTTCATTAGGGTCCTTTGTTGAGTCTCTTGGAAGATATATACCACTAGTGGTTTGAACCTCCTTGGGAGCTCTCTTAACGAGCACTCTGTCACCGAGTGGGGTCAGCTTTCGGAAAAGGGACTATTTCACAAAGAAAGGGAATCGCAATATATTTTGCGCACACATGATTATAAATCGAATTGATAGAAGGAAGCGAGTGAGATGGAGAGAACTTTGTGGAAACGAAGGAGATACAACAGCTGCCGGAAAAGTTGCCATCCGGAAACAGGGTTCAAGCTTACACGAGTTCTAAACATGCTTTTGGTTGTGAAGAAGTTGTATTTTGAGTAACGCAAAATATTTTGGTCGGTTGAGGAGGCAAAATGACGGACGACGGTCTTGCTAGAGTTTCGATAGAAGGATTTGTCATTTGGCGGTCGTACCGTTATATTGAGTAGCGAGGTACGAGAGATTCGGGACGAAAACGAGTACGATGACAAACATGGGGATTTTACAAGATGTGTGCAAATCTCTAGGTTAAACTATCTAACGTACGAATGACGGACACTCTCTGGTCCAATTAACGGTCCCCT